CACACACACACACACACACGCACACACACACACACACACACACACACGCACACACGCCCCTCGGGCATCTATTCAAATGCAAACTCAGGCTGCTGATTAAAAATTAAAAATTGCAGAAATTAGAAAACCAGTCTGTAGTTCCCGTCTTGTGTGAATGAAAATCTGTTCTCAAAAAGTACTGTATTGAATTTAGTACCCACTAACCACACTAGAGAGCAGTATAAGCACACTTTTCTTATCTAATGATTCAATGAGCTACAGTAGCGCCACATTTATAGTATACAATATTAAATTAATACTAATATATTAATTTAATTGGTTTATTATTATTATTATCATTATTATTATCCTTATTGTATTTGTGGTAGTAGTATTAACAATGTGCAATTATGATTTTTAGAAGTTATGTACTTGGTTTGATTTCAATTGAGGATGGATGTTAATATTTAATTCCATTACATTTCATTAAAATTATCTTTTTTTTTAAACAAGTGAATACATACATGTAAAAATGATAATTGATTCGCTATATATAAAGTTTATGTCATACTACACATAATGATATCGATTCATAGAGTAATTGTTTATTATACTTTAGACTCAGCGCATCTTGTTTGACTTGGTTTATTATAATGGACTTTAATAATGATATAATGCAACACTCTTATGAACTAGGATAAGACCACTAGTATACCACGTTTCCTGATTCTTGCTTTATTGTTTTAGAACGAGTGTGTAAACCAAACAAATGCACATTGTCATCAATCGCGTCGACGCATGACTGGAACTTCGCAACCATGAACCTGACCCAGACCGAATACTTTTCGCACATCTCACATTTTCTTGTTGCCACGTTGCCAACTACAGACGTTGATCTCTACATTTTGTTGCTTTTTGTCATGTGTCGTCAGCGGCTCCTCAGAGTTGTTTGTCACCGGCTCAGAGGAGGACATCAGAGCGTGGCATATAGACAACTCCAAAGAGCTCCTGAGGATCCCACAACCTTGCCTTACCTGTAACACTGTGCACCTGATGATTGACGGACACAGCATTGTCACTGGTAGGAATCAATGCAAATGACCCTCGGTATAGATGTTTTAATCAAATAAAGAGGTGTGGTTCGGTCTACTAGTGCGCTGAGTTGTCTCTCTGGTAAGGACAAAGAGCGCACTAGCACGTCGCCCCCTAAGCTAGCTTTGTGGAAAGCGCTCCGAGCGATTATTTGCAAATAAAACCAGGAACGGAAGAAGACACGCCCAGGTTCTCAGTTAATTCCTCGATTGAACAACCTCGAGCAGGAATAAGAAATCAATCTGATCACGCCCTTTTCGCCGCAGCTCTCCTTTCTCAATGTTTCATTGCACTTGAGAAAGCTTGGGTAAATGTAGCTATCATTAATATGATCGCAAGGACCCGTTTCAGTTTCATTTAGAGCCGAAGTAACTTATAGGATTCTATATGGAAGATAGGATGGGATTAACGGTTAATTTATGGAAAATTAATGAGGGAAGTCTTAAATAAGGATGACAAAAATAGTGAGTTCCCTTGGACTGGCTGGCGAGTCGTCCAGGTTGGATTTCATCATGTTATTATTTTTTCTTGACAGGATGGAATGACGGGAAGATCCGCGTATTCGCGCCGCAGAGCGGCCGTCTCATGCTCATCATTCACAATGCACACCGAAATGGCGTGTCGGCCATCAAGGGCTCCACGGACTGCAAGAAGATCGTGAGCGGGGGGCAGGAGGGAACGGTCAGTTTTGAATGATGCTTATATTGCCTCAATTCTAAAAAGGCTTGGTTTCACCAAACACTGGGTTCTGACCAAAAGGCTGAGAAATTATTTTTATTAGTAGTTTGACAAATGATTTAATTCTAGATATATAGCCATGACACTTCATGAGTGATGCTGTCTCATCACATAGCTCGAGTTCTCACTGACATTCTTACATGATGTTCGTCACTCACTCCATGAACTGTGACATTTCTTCTCATGATTACGACACACACTTTCTAAGATCTACATCATGAAAACATGTTTTCAAAAATACATTGCATTCAGTGACAGATACCTATACTATACATATGCATGCCTTTTTCAAGTGTACCTAAACATTTTGGCATTTCTCTCCCCTCATACTAGTCGTGACAAGCCGAGATTCACCCCTAGTGATTTATTGCCTAAGTAAGCGCGTTTGCTGAATCCAACGCAGGTGTGTGTTTGGGAGCTGCTGAAGCACGGCCACCGACGGCTTGCGTTCTTGACGGAGCACAAATCCACCGTCAGGTGTGTCCAGATCAAGAGCGATGACAAGGAAGCTGTCACTGCCAGCATGGACGGAACCTGCATCCTCTGGGACATTGTGTGAGTTGCCTCGCAACCAAACCATACTTGGGAACACACTTAACCTACTCACAAATCCTGTGGGATATTTGGCTTTCGGTCAGAATTTCTAGATGAGTCTTAAATGCGCTACCGTGGTGCCATGATATATGAATGAACCAATGTGTGAGGTTTCAATGCTCACAGGCACATTTTCAGTTATCCTCTGTGAAAAAAACAACTAATATTACTGCAGCTGACTGAGCTTCGTTGTGAATGACACCGTGTACATCCGTATGTGTGTATTATACTCCCCCTAGGTGGCCAATGCACGCTCACCAGAAAGAGCAGCACAGTGTCCTTTGAAATGAAGTAACAAAAGTTGCAAAAAAAACAATTAATTTTTTTACATTCTATTTAATTATATCATATTTATTTTTAAGTGCCACCTTTCTTTCGATAGGAAATTTGTGCGAATTCGGAAGATAATAAGCAAAAACTCATCCTTCAAGACTGTATGCTACCACCCTGAAGAGCACCAGATTCTCACTAGCGGCACCGACAGGAAGGTTGGTTTCGCCGACGTTATTTCCATTGCCCCTCAGTGTAGGGCAGTGGACTGTTTCCATCTTGACATTTTTCAATTTTCAGCTAAAAAATGTCACGTTAAGACACAGAACTAAATCGGCGGTAAACACGGCGGCTAAATGTCCCATTATTGCATCATAATATTTTCCCCTCGCTGAGCTGAGCAGAAGCGAGAAGCCTGCTGCTGTGCTACGATTAGCCCGGCCTCCCACGGCGACCACTTGCACAACACACACACACGCACACATTCGCAGATTTGTATTTGCAAAGCCTGTCGTGTCATTCTCGGCTGGTCATAATTAGGCTGGCTCTGTCCTTGTTCCCCGAATGTGTGTGCATTTCATCCACACCCCCCTTCACCCTCAGCATCGCTCGTCTCATCAGACATGCCGAGAGACACAGAAGACACAAAAGTACAGACTCTAAAATTTACAAAAGTAACAATTCATTTTTACATTCAATTATAACGTCACATTGTTGTTTTAGAGATAGCTAGCGTTGGCTCCGGTTTTATGCTATCAAAACAATGAGCTCCCTTAGATTTGAAGTTATGTGAGTGAGAAAAAACATGCAAATTAGCAAGCACTAAAAAAATCTGAATTCCTTACTTGTATGTTTTGCTTGATTACACAGAGAATTTTTGAACCCCAGTGGTTAGTTGTTTTTAGGCACAAGTCAAATGATTCAGCACTTGTAGCTGACAACATCAAATAATGTTCAGGCCATGGATGCGGCGACGCTGTCCTTGTTTTTCTCCTTCCTTATAGGACCGCAAGATGTCAAATTAATCATGATCCCAACTGCAGTTGACCTTACTCCCCTTTGTTTAGGCAAGGGAAGGCAGTTTTATTTATGTAGCACATTTCATACACAAGGCAACTCAATGTGCTTCACACAAGCAAAGCCATAACACCTAAAGCGTGTACAAACACAACAACAGTTAACGACATTAAAAACCAAAGCAGAGAAAACAAGAGTAGCTTACAAAAATTACCAAAACCCACATTGACACCATTTAAACACATTAACTAAAAACATTTCAAAGTAAGGTCAAGAAATAAAAGAAGGTTTCTAAATTAAATGGAAAAAAAAAAGATTTTAAATTGTTCAGAATACCTTAGTCAAAGGTGTAGGGGCGAAAAGGCAAAGTTTGTAACTTGGATTTGAAAACATTTACACTCAGGACTGATTTCACTTCTGGGTTTGGTCATGTGATGTTCACAAGCTGAGCCCAGAGGTACTGTGATGTCATTTTCGGTGGACAGCAAGTGACAGTACAAGGCAAAATGGCCGCCACCTGAAATGGGGGGGGAAAAAAAAAAACCTGTTGGATTTTGCTGCTTAGTTCATCTTCCACAAATGCAATAGCAATCTGCATACCGTGTTTAGACTAGTGGGGGTGCGTAGAACATATTGTGAAGATAATTTTTGACTTAACTTGTCCTTTTACGAATCACATTCAAGAATTAATCTATCATATTCAATCTCATGTTAACTCATTCACTCCCAAAGACATTTTTAAACGTCTTTTCAGACTTGGTCTAGAATTGGCTGGTACTGCTATTTAAAGTGCCTCTGGTTAACTCCATATAAACTTAAGTTGTTCTAGTGGACTTTTCCTGATGTTTTATCTGCCACCATCTTGTGACATCAATGGGCATGTGTAAAACTTTGGGAGTGGGGATTCATCTACTCACATATTTTTTGCTATTCATGGCAGGACTCAGTCCCTATGCCTTACGTATACAGTAATAACACTGTCAAAAGAAAAAGTAATCAGATGAGGTAATAATCATGTACGGATATTTGAATAATCGATTGAAGCACAGTGACGACGTATTTGCATTTCATTACTTCTCACCCCTGCTGAAAGGTGAAGATAAGTTGCTCTGATTAGCACAACTGTGAAAAAGGATGGATGCAGAGCATCGCTCGTGCCTTCCTGCGTGCGGATGTGCCAACGCCAGCCTAGTGCCAGCCAAATCCACCATCTGCTCATCCCAGGACACAGGCACTCTGTCTGCAGGCGGATGAATACGCCCATATCGACCCGCTTAGGGCAGCACTTTAGAAATATACTCAAGAGATGTAAGATTTGTCCAGTCGATTATCGCGGTATGATTGATTTATGCCCAAAACTGAATTCATTAGAGATCGTGGCACATCAGATTCACTGCCTTGAAGCTAGACGGTTGTACTGAGCATCCATCCGTCCATTTTGCTACAATGCTTGCCCTCGTTAGGGTCGCGAGCGAGTTGGAGGTGATGCCAGCTGACTTTTGGGCAACAGGCACGGTCCACACTGGAGTGGTCGGTAGTCGATCACAGCGCACTCGTAGATAAAGAATTCACACTCCGATTCACAACTATGAACATTTTTGAGTCTTCAATGAACCTAACATGTGTGAAAGCTAGGATACATCGAGAGAACATGCAAACGCCACACAAGCAGGTCGGAATCAAGATTTAAACCCAGAACCGCAGACCTGGGAAGCAGCTGTCATTCCCACGAGTACACTGTACCATGGTCATGCGTAAAATTTCCATACAGTAAAATACAGTAGAGGTTTATAGCTTGCAAATGTCTATGTGGCTGGCGTACATGGTGCCTGGGTGCCAAAAATTTGTGTCAACATATTTTTGTGGGTCTTTTCAGACTTGGTCTAGAATTGGCTGGTACTGCTATTTAAAGTGCCTCTGGTTAACTCCATATAAACTTAAGTTGTTCTAGTGGACTTTTCCTGATGTTTTATCTGCCACCATCTTGTGACATCAATGGGCATGTGTAAAACTTTGGGAGTGGGGATTCATCTACTCACATATTTTTTGCTATTCATGGCAGGACTCAGTCCCTATGCCTTACGTATACAGTAATAACACTGTCAAAAGAAAAAGTAATCAGATGAGGTAATAATCATGTACGGATATTTGAATAATCGATTGAAGCACAGTGACGACGTATTTGCATTTCATTACTTCTCACCCCTGCTGAAAGGTGAAGATAAGTTGCTCTGATTAGCACAACTGTGAAAAAGGATGGATGCAGAGCATCGCTCGTGCCTTCCTGCGTGCGGATGTGCCAACGCCAGCCTAGTGCCAGCCAAATCCACCATCTGCTCATCCCAGGACACAGGCACTCTGTCTGCAGGCGGATGAATACGCCCATATCGACCCGCTTAGGGCAGCACTTTAGAAATATACTCAAGAGATGTAAGATTTGTCCAGTCGATTATCGCGGTATGATTGATTTATGCCCAAAACTGAATTCATTAGAGATCGTGGCACATCAGATTCACTGCCTTGAAGCTAGACGGTTGTACTGAGCATCCATCCGTCCATTTTGCTACAATGCTTGCCCTCGTTAGGGTCGCGAGCGAGTTGGAGGTGATGCCAGCTGACTTTTGGGCAACAGGCACGGTCCACACTGGAGTGGTCGGTAGTCGATCACAGCGCACTCGTAGATAAAGAATTCACACTCCGATTCACAACTATGAACATTTTTGAGTCTTCAATGAACCTAACATGTGTGAAAGCTAGGATACATCGAGAGAACATGCAAACGCCACACAAGCAGGTCGGAATCAAGATTTAAACCCAGAACCGCAGACCTGGGAAGCAGCTGTCATTCCCACGAGTACACTGTACCATGGTCATGCGTAAAATTTCCATACAGTAAAATACAGTAGAGGTTTATAGCTTGCAAATGTCTATGTGGCTGGCGTACATGGTGCCTGGGTGCCAAAAATTTGTGTCAACATATTTTTGTGGTTGACTTATTCAAGGAGGTCAACTTAATTTTTTTCCTATGTCCTGTTATTAACCCTTTAAGCTCAGGATATTCGAACAAAAAAACTGTGGAGCCATATTTTTTTGTGCCCAGCGCAAGTCTAGCGCAAAGCTCAGTCTAACTGTGCCCATGAGTGGAATTTTCTTTCATTTGGTATTTTTGTAGACCACAGCCATCTTGCTTACCAGCTCATGGAAGCGACTCCTATCATCCCCTTTAAAGTCAAGGCAGGAGAGGCACACATTCTTTGACATGGTGGGAGCACAAAGAGACTCGCTCCATGCAGGAGATGGAAGCGTGCAAAGTATGTTTATAAGGAACAGCAAGCAGACCTCCAAGGGTGGGCAGTGTAAAATTGGCCCTGGTGATCCTTGACCATTGTGTGCACTTGGAGACCGTATTTCACCCCGATCTTTTGTGTTTGTGTGTGTGCGCGCGATCTGGCGGTTTGTTTTAAAAAATATTTTTACATGGTTTCAGAGGGTTTGATCTACGCCGTATTCATGAACGAAATGAGATGACACTGGTTTTACATTTGTCAGGTTCGAATCCAGTAAGTGGACAAAAATAGAAAAAGTGACTCCCAACTTTTCCGTCTCTATATATGCGCAACGGCGCAGTTCATCGGCTTTGGACTGTGGCCCAGTTTCCCTCCCTCCTCGAGAACACAGATGGGCCAAGAAAAGTCGCACAGGCGGCGTCGCTAATAAGCTGCTCAAAATGAGATGAGGCAGGAAGAGGTCGTGACTGGAAAGAGCCATGAGAACGAGGAAAACACGAGACACAATGTTTGAGGGTGACTTGAGGAACATTACACTTGTCTGTTTGGTGTTGTTTTTTTAAAAATAATGTCAGTATGTTTCCTTTGCCGTGTTTTGTGCGAGTAATCCGGAGCAATCGTATACAGAGCTCGGGCTGTCACAATCAGATCTTTGTAGAATCAATTATCCTTTTGTTTACCGCATTGAATAAACCTGCATTTTTTGGGTCAGACTGATCCTTACAGGTCTTTTTTTTGCGGTCTCTTTCATTTGTATAATCAGCTTTGCTCTAAATAATAATAAAAAAAGGGACGTGTCAGTGTGCACTGTTTTTCTCACCTGTGCTATAAATAATCACAGACAGCAATCGTTTTTTTTTTTTTGTCATACTTTTATACTTTAACAGCTGCAAATACTCAGGGACGATTAATGTTGGCTTCCATTTAGCAGGCATAATTTCATTATCGTTTGATGCAGGTTGATGCGTGTGTGTGTGTGTGTGTGTGTGTGTGTGTGTGTGTGTGTGTGTGTGTTTGTCGGGAAAATAATCTGATTTTTAAAACAAGCACAAAGTAAGAGTAGTCATAAAAAAGAAAAAAAAAACACAAAAAAAAAAACACAGACAGCCTTAAAGGACAAATATATCTTGGTCTTGGTCTTTATTGCAGCTGTCAAATAAGTAACTGTCGACTACCTGTTCAGATCGTCTACTGGGATGTGCATGACGGGACAGCAATCAGAGAGCTTCAGGACGCGCAGACGTTGGCCATCAACTGCATGCACATCTCCCATGACGGCAGATACTTTGTGACAGGTAATGGACCATTAAGCAGCTGCTGCTCACCGCCTCATCCCTGCGCTACACTTTCAACTACATGATGCACAGTGATTGAAAATGCTGGCAGTAAGAACGTCTACCTGTCTTTTTTCCGCATGCTTTCACCAAAGAGGCTGTGTCGATTCACTAGTGTGGATTTGACTGTTTTGGGGCATATTCATGTCTACGGTTTCGAAGGGTGACATTTTGCATGTTGTAATAACTGCTGGAGATGACTCCCCACAGAAGTCATTACCAAAAATATATAGCCATTTATTTTAAATTCAGTACAATGGAATCATGTCATCAATAATTCAAAACAATAATTTCAGTTTTTGCTTCTTTGTTTTTTGAAGGGGGAACTTTGGAACGCTTTCATTATATAATGAATGTTTTGAGTTTCGAGCATAAATGGAACAAATTAAACTCTTATCTCGATGCACCATTACAAGACCAATTTTATGTTGTTTCTTTTAATAATCAAATAAAATAGAATAAAATGTGGGGGGCATGGCTCAGTGATAGAGTGGTCGTTTCCCAACCCAGGGGTTGGTAGTTTGATCCCCGGCCATTGCGACCGTGTCTATATTAGGTTTATTGCACAATCTTAGGGGTTAACTTTTTGCGGTGCTTTGCAACTGACAAAGTTGAATGAAAGCAAATGAATATTTGAGGACGTTTCTCCGACAGGTGGCGATGATAAGCTGGTGAGGGTGTGGGACTACATGGACGGTATGGTCACCCACGTCGGAAGAGCTCACGGCGGAGCCATCACCAGCGTGGAGATCTGCTGCAACAACAGCACCCTCATCACCACCAGCGCAGACGGAGCTGTCATGCGATGGAAGTTTCCTCACCCCGTCGTGGAGTGATGGAATATGTTGGGTTGGACAAATAACATTTGCTCCACTGCAGTGAGGCATCTTTGTATATATGGCTTGTTTTTCAACAATTTGATCAATCACGTGAAAAGACACTTAAAAAAAAAGTCTAAGGCAAAGGAACCTAAAATATTACCTTCGAACAATAATTTGGTCTTGGAAAACATCAGGGGCGTTCGACTTTAGAGGTTGCCCTGCTCATTTTCCCTAAAATGCAACCGAATAAACTTCTTTAAAAGTTTTCTAAGCAGATTTGGTACATTCGCCCTTTATTATGTACTGCCTTTTGCGCATTTTCCAACAATAGCAGAGTAAGAGCATTATGGAAATTACGGAAATGTCGGCTCTGACTATCTGTTCCAATAAATCAGCATATCTGGCCCACTAAATTCAATCTTGGGCGGCGGTGAGCTGTGAAATTAAGGCTCGAATGATTAGAATCAGAGTAGAACGAGGCAGATGCTGGTTTTCCCGTCGACAAACCCAAAGTGCACAAAAGCTCCCATTTATGTATTTGCTGGAGTTTTTCAGTGGCGGCAGCCTTAATGTGAGTGAAGCTATTTATAGACTCCCTTGTCTACTGTGTTTTAGACAAGGTGTTTCACACTGACAATAGCGCGGAAGGAGATGGTGCATCAAACTGACCATCTGCATTGAGACAGCAGCATCTGTAACGCACATCTGCTAGCCTATTAAACATTAAAACATGCTTTTTTTTTTAAAATATGCCGTGGATATAAAAAAATATACACACCCCTGTTTTAATGCCATTTTTTGTGATAAAATTGTTGGGGGGACCAACATACCAATCCAATGAAGTTGGTACTTTGTGTGAAATGTAAATAAAAACAATACAATGATTACCAAATCCTTTCCAACCCATCTTCAATTGAAAACACTCCAAAAACAAGAGATTTAATGTTTTTGATGAACATTATTGGCCATTCGTCCCGGGAGAGAAGTAAAATCCTGGCGCCGTCCCTGCCAAAATGGCACCAATGCTCTATTAAATTAGATTAGATTACGTCTCATTGCATGAGAACAGGGTTCACCAACGTTTTTGAAACTGAGAGCTACTTTTTGAGTTCTGATCATGCAAAAGGCTATGGCCACCGATTTCATACACACTCCTGAAAAAACAAATTCACTCAAATTATTTTGGGGGAAATATTCTCATCGTCATTGCGCCAGCTAACTTCTCTCCACAAATGCTATGGTTTGTTTATTCACCACAGTACTGACCTTTGGGCTATGCAGTACAAAAGATATACTTTTTAAATCATTGTTTACCAATTTACACCAATCTAATGTCCCCAAGACTACTGAAGTGGTCCTAGGGGGACACCTAGTGCCGGTGGGCACCCGGATTAGAATATCAGGCAGACCTTTTTCTTCAGACAAAAAATAGTGAATAGATGAGTTTTCCAACAAATAACCGAGGATAGACTTGGGAAAAAAATGTTGTTGCTGTTTTTTATCCATATCTGTAATGACATTTCCAATGCTTTCAATACGAAATGTGTTCTGAGACCCACGCGCGGTAGCGGAATGACTTCAACACGCATCTCGGGGCGGCACGACTCCTATTGCACGTCAATGGCAGGTGGACCTAATGAAGTGGTCGGTGCGTGTTTATTTTTCTTCCCGGGTGCGTTGTGAGGGGCGGGCATTGTTCTCGCTATCGGGGCGGGAGAAAGCAACGTTAGCTTCGGGAGTAGTCAAGTAGGACGAGTGGTACCGAGGATGGGGAGGCCACGACATCTATAGAAGCGACGAGCTCATCACATGCTTTCCCGGTGCCGGTTCAGTGCCACTTTGGCGGCGGCGATGTTTGCGGAAAAGCGGGAGGAGCTCGAGGAGGAAGAGGAGGAGGAAGACTAGACTGTCTGGCAGACAGGTGCGCCTCCGCCTCCTCCTCCTCCTCCACCACCACAGTAGAGCGAGTGTTCCTCCTGTCAGGTGCAGGCAGCAGCAGCAACAGCAGCCATGGATTCCCGCAAGGAGAAGGCGCGCAAGCCCACGAAAGCCAAAACGACCAACCGGAAAGAGAAGAAGCACCGGAGCGGCATGTTCACCCGGCGAAGGTCTCTTCGTTCTCTCAGTCAATTCATGGGCAGGATTCTGAAAACTTTGAGCACTTTGGCGCACTTCGGCGAGGGACGGCCGCCGGAGCCCGGGGAGGAAGACGATGACGGCGGCTTCGGTCGAAGCGACACCGGCGGCTTTAAAGACGAAGACGCTGCGGGCGTTTCGAAGGAGGGTGCCGTGAAGAAGAGCTCCACGCTGTCGTCCCACGGCTCGGTCAAGGAGCGACTGTCGTGGTGCTACGGCGACAAGACGCCCGGCGCTCTGGGGCTCAAAAACCACGGGAACACCTGCTTCATGAACGCCGTGGTGCAGTGCCTCAGCAACACCGATCTGCTGGCCGAGTACCTCGGGCTGGAGAAGTACAAAACGGACGCGTTGGCCCGGCGGGTGAACGGCGAGGCCGCCAGGGGGGAGGTGACCGAGCAGCTGGCGTCGCTTGTTCGAGCCCTGTGGACGCTGGAGTACACGCCGCAGCTCTCTGTGGACTTCAAGGTGAGACGAGTGTGTCATTAATTCTTTAAACATATTTGAACATTTCACACAATAGTAGTTTGCCTTGTGTTAGTTTTACTGTCTTTCATATTGTCCATCGTCTTGAGTGTTGTAGTCACAAGACGCCACAGGTGCGTCTCGATGGAAGGCGAGCGTGAAATGGGCGTGGTCAAAGCTGGACGTCGCCGGCTCTACCTTAAACTTGTGCTACATTCCAGGAAAGCGGGGAAGTCGGATTTTTTTTCATATCATGTTGAGAGGAAGTTCTTGGGGTTATCTATAGACTATGAACAATGGCAGAGTACAAGCAGTGCTTGGTTTTTCCCAAATAAACGTTATATTCCACAAGAGATAAATCCTGATAATGACTCCAAATCTTTTTGTGATAAAAGGCCTGAAATTATTTTTAGGGAAGAGTTACTGCGAATTATTAGTAATATACTGACTCAATATGAGAAAATTTGAATATTTATTTTGCAAGCCAATTTACCAAGTGCACCCCTAAACATTCTGCTTTTGCCCCTAAAATTTTAATTTAGGGCTGACTGTGCTCCTAGTGGGGAGGAAAATTGTCTGATGCTCTGCATTATGTAAACACATCTCTTTCGAATGATTAACAGTTTCTTCTCCCTTGACCTCAAACAATTCTTTCCCTGTCCGAAAACATGCAGAAATGATCCAAAGCTCTAATAGTCCAATAGAGTTGCAAAAGTGCCTCCACGCTATTGTACACCTAAAGGTACAAAAGTGCACTATACCACAAGAAATACGTCTGCTATTAGGAATTGATTCCCCATTAGATTGCAGTATGTGTAAATGTTGATACTGTAGTGCTCATACTTCAATATTAATTGGAATCAGTTATCAGGGCACTCAATGATTCGCGCAAAGCAGGGCCAGAGGCTGTAAAAAAAAAAACTTGCCTACATTATATGTCATTAACTTGCCATTAAGTGATAAATTGGCCATTTCATGTCCACGTGCAAACCAAAGCCAGTCAAATGAAAACAGTGGGCCTCAAGGCAGCTAAGCAAGTGTGTCACGATGTAACGTCGAGTCAGTGCAATAGTGCATTAAATGATTGTTGCTCCTCTTCGGGGTATTTTATTAAACGGTATTTTATTCTGTGGGTGGGGGTGGGAGGGTGCTTATTCACTCAGACATATTTTTGGAATCGTCTCAAGCAATGGTATGATTTGTCGGCCGAAATTTGAGTCTAAAATAAAATAAAAAGGACTCTTACTGAGAAAAGCAAAGAAGTGGCTTGAATGGAGGCCAATTGGTTGCTTCTCAAAACATGAACATGGATGCAAACAATATTATATCGCTTCACTGACATTGACATGTCCGGGCTCTGACAAATTCCATAAATATGATAAAATCAGCACATTGTAATATTCAACATTTTGACTTTTATCCACTTGATCAGTGATCAATGAACCTTTTACCGTGTGGCACACATTTTCTTGTGAAATCCTTCCACAAGGAATGTCTTGAACAAGGCATAAAGCCCAGAAAGTATCAAATGTTAAATATACAGAACACCTTAACCATATCATACAAAACAAGGAACTACATAACAGTAAAATCTTCTTAAAGGCTTAAATAGTACATTATAAAGATGCTAAGGGTGAAACTATCATTGAAATTTCTCGTATTATGTCATGAATATAGAGTGCCAGTTCAGGCAGGGGCACCACAACATCGTCACCCGAAAAGGCTTTTAATGTGGGACCCAGTCCACAATTCATCCGACTGCTCACTTGCTTTGATAGGTGCTGCCGTTTTTGTTCGCAACAGACTTCCAAAGAGATTACTACAGTGCTATGTACTGAGACAATTACTGTTATAGCACTTTTTTTTCGGACCGAGGGAGAAAGGGTTGCAGCTAATTGGGGCCCGACGTCTATTCGAGGGATGGCCACTACTTGAGGAAAGAGGCAGGAGGACCATTAGGGACCAAAAAAACATCGGCCGCCCTGTAGGTTACTTCCCCTATGTACAGAGAATGAGGCAGTTGTAATCTTAAAGTTACTGTCGATGGCAGCTCCCCAGTTAGCCACACCAAAAAGAAAAATCTCTACCTAAGCAAAAAAGCCCTAATTGGCTGTGACGTGACAAAACTGTGTGTTTTAAAGGCACTGCAGGGATACATTCTGCTGACAAAACATCCATCCATCAATCTGTTTTCCGTAGCCCGTGTCCTCGTTAGTGTTGCAGGGGAGTTGGAGCCTATCCCAGCTGACCTTATAGGTGATCGGCAGGATACTCCCTCGACTGGTCACCAGTCAGTCACAGGGCATCTAGACAACTATCCACACTAACATTCTCACCTATGGAGAATGTAGAGTCAAATTAATGTGGCAATTTAAATATTGAATAAACGTCCATTGTCAACATGTTGCACATGTAGAACATTTGACAATAAAGTTGACTTGACTTGACATAATAAGATAAGATAAGATATCCTTTATTTGTCCCACACTGGGGAAATTTACAATGTGTTTAATAGCGCTACATATTGAATTTTTTTACCTGTTTAAAAAGAAAAAATCAATTGATTAAAGATAAAAATGTAATAAAGCACAACTATCAAGAGGAAAAATACTATTCATAATATCTGGTGTGCTCCAAATTTCCTCTTTGGTGCTTGTAATTGTGGCAAAAATCTAATGTCATATTGTCGCCGCAGAGGCCACAAAATGCATAATTACGGCGTTTGCTTCCTTATTATTATTATTTTTAAATTGATATTATATTGAGTGCAATTTCTATTTAGATTGAATCCTTACCCAGCCCTTCTGCATGTCAAAGTGTTGAGTAAGATAACTAATTTAAGTAGATTGTACATGGTGTCTCTCATAGTCAGTTTGCTTTTATTTTAGCATAAGCCTAACCTAAGACCAAAGCATTTATGGAAAATACATTTGAGATTGGGATGGAGGTGTGGGGGTGAAACCAGAGTACTTGGAGAAAATCCTCACGAGCATGGCGATAACACCCAAATCCCACACAGGAGGGCTTGTTCTGGGATTCAAACCCCCAACCTAAGAACCGAGAGACAGACATGCGAACCACTATTGACGCTCATAGGGAAGGTTTGTTTTGATTGTCACTGTCAATTTCCTCTGTCCCGTTTCCTTGTTCAGAAGTACAGTACACAGGTCATGTTACGATGACGGGGCTTGGTCACGTGATGTCGTTCACATGAGGTTTTATGACTGAACTAGTTTGCATTGCTGTGACTGATTTACACACCGACAGTGTCGTTTCGGCCTGACTCACCTGCGCGACCGACCGGCACGTTGAGGTGGTTAGGCTGCATTCCGCGGCAGTCGTTTGGAGGGAGAGGAGACTCGCACTGATCAACTCCGACTCGCCAGCCTGCTCAAGCACAAAACACAAAACGGGATCTTTTGATACTCAAGGCCATTTAAGAAGTGGTCAACAAGAGCTTGTCTTGCTGTGAAACTGCCCCCTCCTGGGCTTATTGGATGACAGCAAAACAGTTCTCCGACAAGCTGCTGTGAGCCATAACAGACTTGCATAAGCTCAGGTGTGGGAAAAAGAATATGTCGGATAGATGCTGGACACTCCCCCATTGTACATAATGATATCTAGACGTTCTCTGGATTTTGAATTGAATAATCCTCATAAGAACTCAACTCAACTCAACTGTATTTATAGAGCACTTTCAAACAGCCATCGCTGCATAAAAAGTGCTGTACATGGAGCAATTTAACATATACAACAACAGTAAAGCAAACCGGTAATAAAGATGGTAGAAAAGGTAAAAAAATAAGAGGTCAAATTTTCACCACCATACAAATAAAATGTTTTTTTTGTTTGTTTTTTTTAACATAAAATGATAAAGCATGAAATCAAGGCAACACGTTTTTAGCAACTTGTCATACTGATACACTATGTGTAAAAATGTTTGGCTACTTATGATAAGAACTCTGTTTAGTTTATAGTGAGACTGACCCAGTTGTTTCCATGTCCGAAAAAATTGGAGCTCGACCAGAAGCGATTGTGTTGGACTTCGGTGGTTCCGCTGTCTAATGAGGAAGGGTGATAATCGGTGTCGTGAGCGTGTTCATGTCTTTGTTCTTTACCTTATCGCCTCGGTGCACCTCATTTAAGGCACTGTGACAAAATGGTGGTTACTGTGAGTCGGTTCTATTACCTCCTGCTCTTAATGCCTGAATAAGGGGGTGGCACCCACTTGATCTTCTCATTACCGCAGGCTACAAAAAAGAATGATTAAGGATGTGGGAAATTTCCCAGATGGAATTGTCGCCTTCTTCGAAGGAGAATGAGATGATTTCATTTGAGCTGAACGGTTTGCGGTGCACGAGCCATGTCTTGTCCCGCACCAAGATGGATATTTTGGCTGGATCACTGGTGCACCTGCTGGGCCTCTCCTCTGCATCGCAAAGGAAAACATGTCCTTCATTTCCCCTTTCACGGACACAGTGATTTGTGTGTGTGTGTGTGCGTGTGTGTCTGCTGGAGGGAGCGTTACTGTAGCAAGTGCATCCAGCCTGGAAGATGAGGACAAGGATGAGGAAGGAAGGAGGAGGAGGCCCCATGCTGAGATGTCTCCAGTGGTGTGTACTAAGAGTGAAGAAGGAGGAGGGGGCGGGGGGGGGGCGTCGGTTGGTAAATAACAGACTTGCATAAGCTCAGGTGTGGGAAAAAGAATATGTCGGATAGATGCTGGACACTCCCCCATTGTACATAATGATATCTAGACGTTCTCTGGATTTTGAATTGAATAATCCTCATAAGAACTCAACTCAACTCAACTGTATTTATAGAGCACTTTCAAACAGCCATCGCTGCATAAAAAGTGCTGTACATGGAGCAATTTAACATATACAACAACAGTAAAGCAAACCGGTAATAAAGATGGTAGAAAAGGTAAAAAAATAAGAGGTCAAATTTTCACCACCATACAAATAAAATGTTTTTTTTGTTTGTTTTTTTTAACATAAAAT